AAATCGAGTTAAAATCAGATTATAATATTGCTATTATAATTGATTTTGATACGACTGTCGTAATCTTCTTTTTGCATGGGTATGTTCATGTTACTTATATCAATGTTTATTGTTTATGAACTTATAATTGTTATTGACGTTACCATATAGAAGAAAAAGATACCCAATGTTTTTTTTCTTCTGGTTTTGCCATATATTCTTGAAGTTTTTAACCTTTTTTGTATTTTTTTCGTTCAGCTTTTGGTTTTTGTTCACGTACGAAAAAAAATAAATATGCTGCTACATTAGATATGAAACTTACTTGTTTATATATGGGCACAATAGTTTACTCTCACAGTATGAATATCTTTCCAAGTGAAAGATGCTATGCTTTATTTATTTTGAGCATACTTACGATAAGTTAACAAATAAGAGCTCTGTCTTCCTGCGTTTAAAAGTAAAAAAATCTATCTATTTGATGTACCAGAGTTGTATAATAATAAAAAAGAAACAAGATAAAAAATGAAGACAGTAAATAAAATGAATATTTGTAAAAATCAGAGGTTATTTGTACATCTGACCGTTACTTTGAGCAAAATAAAAAAATCTTCTTATAAGATGTCTTCAGGACTTTCAAGAAGATATATATCCTGCTCAATGTCATTAAAGCAAAAAGAAATAAAATTGTTAAAGAGCTTGTGGTGTTGGTTCTGTAGCTGTCGATTGTCGAAGTAAAGCTTTAGCTTGTCTTTTCCTCTCGTCAATGAGAAAATCTGACATCCTTGGTTTAATAAGTTTGGAAAAGCAGGAATCATAATGTAATGCTGATAAACGATATTTAATACGAACAGCTTCTAAATAAAAGCAACTAAAAATGAATCTTTTTGAATATTTTTAGTTTCAACTCTGAAACTGGAAGCAATAAAAAGAAAGATAGGTACAAGCAGCTTAATTTATACGTTGTCAACGATTCTAATAGATAATAATCGAAATTTATATATTTAAAAAGAAAGCTCTTTAACCTTGTATCCGATGATAGAGAGTATGATTTAGGACATACAAACAAAAAATTCTTAATCGTTTTATCTTCTAAATCGGTGTTTAATTGAAATTGAGAAAAAAAATATCTTAAGTAGAATTAGAAAACCTACCATGAAAAATGTTAAAGCGATCAACATCTAATGGAGGCCGACTTAAATGTTTTCTACCAGGTGGTAAAATACATTCGTTTAACTCTTGTGGTGTAAACAATTCTCTTAGAATTTGTCGACCGGAGTCGTATATGTCACGTCCCCGAATCGTTAACAAGTCTTTACCATTAAAAATCTGCAAAAAAAATCAGAATAGTAGAAAAAATGAATAGTGAGTAATATTCACAATGGTTTGAGGGAAAACCTCATCCTTTTCTCTGTATGAATCCAAACTATAATCACCCTAAAGTATAAAAAAGAAAACAATATATTACATATGACAAATAATTCTATGTTTATGGAAGACGTACTAAAGCTGGAACCAATCGATCAACCTTTTTACTAAAAGCTTTTAGTTTTTTTTCTAGGCCATGTAAAACTGTATGCTGCATTTGATCGATTGTTTGGTACAAAACATGAGCTAAAAACATATAACGACCTTATTAAACTAATATTTAGAAAGTAGAATCAATTTTTCAATATAGAAAATTCTGGAAAAATATAGTATATTGAGCAACATCAGATGAGTTTAACTTTTCGAAGAAGAATTGTTAGATGATTGTAAAATCAAAAAAATCTGGATAGTAAACTTTCCTTCTATCGCATTATATGTATATATGTTGAATTTTGATTTTAAAAACTCATTTTTATGCTAAGAAGTGCTATAAAAATAGTTTCTATTAGAATTGAACAATATAATAATGAACTGTACAATATTTTAAGAATTAAATAATCAATCAAATCATTGATTTACTTTTTTTCTGGAAACTATCTGAAATTTTAAACATTTTCCGAAAAAACTAAAGGCGTGTTTTCAGATACAAACACCAGATTCAATTTTCTAGGAATTCTGGGTTGAAATTAGAGTTAGTTCTTATATCGCAGATAGGCATCTTGTTTCAAGAACTCAAAAAAAATTTACAATATAATAAAATTATTTTTTTTCTTTTTTAGTTTAGATAACACTTTACGTTCTGAAGACAGAATTGTTTTAGCACATGTATCAGTGGTTATATCATCTAGCAATTAAAATAATCGTCACAGAATAGGTAAATATTAGCAAATGATAAAAACTACTTTTATCTGACAATAATTGATCTAAAAGCCGCAGACGTTCTGAAGAGAGAGGTTCATTTTAAAAAGTTTTCTTAGCTAAGCTTGTGATAGCAGTACTCACTTTGTTTTGTTGATAAGTTTTGTTGTGGTACAGATAAACCGTTGTCAGATTCTTCTAAAAGATCATCGAAATATTTTTTGTTTTAAAATTTACCGTTTAATTAACGTGTGTAGGCAACTAGGGATATTACTTTATCTTTATTTTCTTTTAAATAATCAATAACGATAAAGTAATTAGAATAAACTTAATCTTTTACAAAATAAAGATAACGTAACATCCCTGTAGGCAACTGCTTTATCAACTATGACTTTATCTTGTTGTTAAAAGAACAAGTTCTAATCAATGTAAAAAAAACTTTCATTGTAGATTTTTACCGTCATCATCAGCTATCGTTAATGAAGATCGTTTTCTTTTCTGTGTTAATGGTGAACGTGCTAAAACAAGTTACAAGAATAGTAATCCTTAATCTTTGTTTATGAGCAAAATATGCAGGTACTTTGTGTTTGACTGTAATTGTTATCATCGGTAGATAAGATGTCTTCTTCTAATTCATTTATTTGTTCTAGAAAATATTTAAATTAAAATATTTTATGATCACAAAAAAGAAAACCACAATATCTGCATTTCAGTGAAACAAGACATTTCAAAATATTTTACCCTCTTCATCGTTTTCATCTTCGACATCATCTGATGTCATCTGTTCATAAATTGTATTACATTGGCTGTAACTTCCTATAAAAAGAGTTGAAAATGATTTTTATTTTATTATGACCTTTAAGCTGAGAGGATCAAATGCAGTGGAGTAAATAGGAAAGTTTAACTTTAGATTTAAGCTGATTAAATTTTCTGAATCATCGATTTGATAAATTCGAAGCAGTCTAATTCAATCGAAATATTCTACTATTCGAACCATCTTTACCACATAAATAAATACAATTATGCTAGAGAATATATTTTTTTGCCTATGTTTACGAATAAATATAAATTAGATTTGAAATTATTTGAATTATTGTTACTATATAGATCTTAGCATATTAGACATTATAATATACTGCTAATCTCTCTATGTATAACGATATTGTATTCAGTTTAACTTGAGCAGCTCAATAGCAATATCATGAACGCTGTAATTGTACAGTTGTCAGATAAAATTTGTTATCGGCAGATCTTAAACTTACTTCTTCAATAGTAGTAAACTCATTCATTTATCTTATTCTACTTGACCGCTAGCGAAAAATATTGTATAATGAAATTGGAATCTATTATTAGCTTGTAAATTCATTTTCAATATTATTAATTATATGAAAGCCTTAACCAAAACATACTACAGTATATAATATATCTTCGAAGTAATGAACAGATACCGATTAAACAAAAGATATTGAGTAATGTAGAAATTTGAAGTACTAGTATTACCTTGTGCTTGTATTACTGCTATACGACTTTTTTTACCAACGCCAACGACCGCTTTGTCATCGATTATTGATCTGAGACTCGATCTTTTTGCTACAATAAGTTCACCATTGTCTTCGAATTTTAATAAATAATTTTGAGGAGAAGTTATGGAAGACTGTGTAGGTGTAAATTTTTTTGTTTGCGTCCTTCTTCTGGGAGATCGATTCATTTTCAATGATATAGGAAAGAAATCTGAAACAAAACCACTGAATTACAAAATAAGGTAGAATGTTTATTTAATTCGAATCATATAATATGACATTCATAATAACTCAGCATATCAAACAGAACTATAATGCCTAATCACATGTATTAAATTATTCAAATCAGAAAAGCGAATTTGTTTTTTTTGAAATAGAAACGAACCCGAAATTTTTAATAAGATATAGTTTAATAAAATATTTTAAATCTCAAAATTTTCAAGTTAACTATCTTGACGACTAGTTTAAATGTTATACTTTCAAAAAAAAAATACTAAATTCATGCTTTAATATCCTTGTGATTAAAAATAAATATAGGTTTAATAAAGCTTTACTATTCTAGATGTTTTATGATCAATAAAATAAAATGTAACAATAGAAATATTTTTAATCATGCTCGTTATAAGCAGATATTTCAGTTACAACTAGTTCTTGTTCAAAATCAAATACGATACAATGCTTAATAATATAATTAATTTCAACAATATCAAATATATCACATGGATTTTTGAAAAGAATATTATAACAACTATCCAGTGGCTATTCTAATAAGTCAAAGTAAGACGATGATTTAAACAAAGAACTAAATGGTTGCTTATTTTTAAATCGTTGAATGACTGCATAAGTTGTATTCATGCAACAAAAAAATAAATGGATAATTCCAAAATATTTTTCATTGTTACTTGTTGATTCATAATAGCTGACGAAATAACTATTTGATTTTGTTCGTCGTTTATATAACAAAGAATGAAAAGTATTACTTCGTATAATGCATCGACGATAAATGGATATACATTTTGGTATATTCAAACAACTACATATTCGATTATGATGTGCTATGATTATTGTATAATTATAAATGATAAAACCAGGATTTAAATCTATTGGTTTAGAATGTATATCATATTTTGTATGTGGTACTCGATTATGTAATGAAAAATTTATATTATAGTAGTGAACTATTTGATCACCATAATATCTTGTACCGTATGTATTTGAACTAATGTGCCCGATTAAATCCTCTTGAGAAAAACACCCAATATTAGATAAAGATCCGTAGTTAACATACTGATCACCATAATGAGCATGTAAATGTAGAACATAATTTTGTATGAGATGATAAAATTTTCTGTGATCTTTATAGTACTGTTTGAATAGTTGATTTGCTATTGTTGCTGTTGTTTGACCGAACATTGGTGGTTGAGAGTGGTAGAGCCTAATAGCACATATAAATAGAGACATATGAGCTAATTGTTCATGATTTATGAATTCATAAGATAATGGTAAAAGACCATATATCAATACATTGCGTAATTCAACAGCTTTCATGAATGATAAGTCCTTACATGTTTTCATACGTCGGTTAAAAAAATGTGGAAAACATTGTTGTTTCAGTTTAATATCAAATAACTGACGTTGAGAAGGACTAAATTGTTTGTAGACTTGATAAAGAAGTGTTTTTGTATGTCGTAACAAACTCACGTGTTGATAATCGATTATAATACCTTGAGGTAGTTTTGTATCAAGTATATCTTTTAAAATTGATGTACCTGTAGCAAAAAAAAAGCATTTACTATATGATATGTTTTTGTATATTCTTGATTTTCATCCGTTTGCAATTAACTACGAAAGGTACATATTTGCTTTTAATATTTTTATGAACTCTATTTTATTGCTATTTCTTTTACTACGACATTATATTAACCTAAAGCTGCTGATCAAAAACGATTAAGTACAGTACATTTTTTTATAGAGATATTAGAAAAGCAATAACGAAAATTGATTCCTATCAATTTTTTAATTTATTGAAGTTGGAAATCTTCAAAATACTAATTCACCTTTATGTCCATGAATATTTCCTTTAGTTTTTTCAGCTTCTACTGATTCTTTTTCATATGTTGAGCTATGACGAAGAACAGGTTTTTTTTCATAGAAGTATTGTCTTTTGTTTCCAGTATGTTCACCACGAGTATAACAAAAATTACAACAAAAGTAACCTCCATGTCCAATAAAGTTAAGAATATTTCTTAGAGCTGGACTATCACCGGTAATAGATAAAAGTTTAATATCTATACGATGATGATGATTTATTATGATACCTACAATAAATAAACGAGAACATTATTTATTAGTCATGTAAAAACTGTTATTAATTGTGACATAGAACTCACTCATATCTTTCAGAGAACTAATTACTAAATCAGATATATGAGACAACACTAAGTGAATAATAGAAAGAAACTATAAAAACATATAGCATTAGTTTATTTATTAAATCTTAGCAAATTGTTTTTAGTTTACTTAAATTTATTATCTTCCGTTTTAGATATAAAACCGATAGTGAATGAAAAGTAAATTTTCTAATATATATGAGAATGAGGTACTTATAAAAGAATTTTTTTTTCGTTCATATTATATGAATGTCAATAGATGAATAAAAGACAAGTAACAAGAAAATAAACTAATACTTGATTATTATCATCTATTTTTAGTTGTGATAGAAAAAACTAAATAAGTAAATACTTATTTTATATAAAAAATAAAATATTATCTTCTTTTTTAAATAAAGTCGTATATGAAGTTGTTGTTTAGGTATTGATTATAATTCAAAGACTATATATTTTCCCTAGTGTTCAGAGTATCTACAGCAGTCAGACCAGTTATTATCACCTTCATTCAAATAATTAATCGCTTTCTTATACAGTTATTATATATACATATACAGAGTTGTAAAAAATGAACTTGTTTTATTTATACAAGTACCTTTTATTTTGATAAATTTCATTAAATTCATACAATTTATTAACCAAATTTGTGCATCTGGTTCAGTATAACTAAACCATAAAGAAAATAGTACCATATTGTACCGGCGATTTCTCAGTTGTGGCCGTAGTTCTATTATAGATCCACTCAGAAGCCACATTTTCAGTTTAGAAGATTTCGAAAGACTTATTCCATCTAGATAAAGTAAAAATGTTATAAAATTGTTGTTCATATTATTTTTCAATAGTTGTTGATAAATTTTATTAAAACCAATATCATTTGTTCCATCTCTATCGTTCATTCGCCGAAAATGTTCACGATATTCATCAATGTCCGTTTTTAAACGAATATAAATATTTTTAATCAATTGTTCCACATTCATATCATAAATTGCAGCGAAACATTTATGATCAGAACATAAACATTTTGAACAAGAAATATCGGAAAAAGATAAAACATTGTTACAAATTGTACATAAGATATATTTTTTCAGAAGATAATTTTCGATTTGTAAGATTTCTAAAATTTCTTCTATTCGTTTTGGCACAGCATTCGGTATCGGAAGTGTAGAATGAATGAAAGATAACAAACGATTAGCATGTGATTTAGAGATACGAGCATCTCTAATTATACTTAATAACGTCGAACAAAAATCTTCTCTTGACATATTAGTATAGCAGTGTAATAACATTATCGATCGGTGTATTATTACATGATTCTAAATCATTAAATGAATTTTCAAAGATTTCAGCAGAATTCATAATGTGGTTCTGAATTTCTTCGGGATTGATTATATTATCTTGATCACAAGCATCATTTTCAGATAAAATATTTAATGAATAATTATTTGCGGTTTCATACTTTAATTTTGAGTTTGTATTCATATCAATTGTAAGCGATTCAACAACATTTAATAGTTCATCAGTTACATTAGATGATAAACTATCAACTGATGATGGTTCATAATACGCTCGACGTCTTTTTTTGTTATTTTCATTACGCTGTTGTACTCTTCTTGAACGTTTATTTTCAGCGAAATTAAGCGCTTGTTCAAAATCAAAGTCCATATATAAATCAGTAGTCAAATCTTTCAAAACAAAATATTATAAAACAAAACAAAACGAATGTATAGCTACCTACACTTTGATATGTATCCTAAAAATATTTATTTTAAACTACCAAATATATATTGTAGTTTGGTAGAGCAAAATACCAAAGAACTCTGCATAATATGGACACCAACAAGAGACAACCAATATCTAACACACAGATGTCCCTAGCGGAAAGCAAAAGAAGTTCACTTCTTAGTTTACAAATCACCACTTATTTTCCTATTTACAGTTAATCTCTCGCTTCGTCCATGGCAACCACAATACTCATAATTAACTTTAACATATTACATCTCCATCGAAACATCATTAATAACATCTGCAACAACAGATACACATTTAAATAAATAAAACATTTTATTACGAATCACTTTTACTATCAATGCATACAAAAAGACAGTTATCCAAAAAACATTAAACCACACAATATATTAATAACTAGCCCATTCAAAAAACATCGATAAAACCACAAAACCGCACCGCAGCACCCGCTTCTGCGAGATAAGCAACGCAGCTCACACTGCTTTTCGAACTTCGAAAAATTAAAACTAAAAAAAGAAAAGCATAAAAATCGTATCGATATTTGGCTTTTATGATTTTCGAGCAGTGAGATATTTTTTAGTTCGCCCAGTTGTGTAGGTGTGAGAATGAGCATCGATGCTCACAATGATTTTCGAACTTTGGAAAACTTAAGTGGAAAAACAAAAAGCATAAAAATCGTATCGATATTTGGCTTTTATGATTTTTGAGCAGTGAGATATTTTTATTTGGGCTAGTAGTGTAGGTGTGAGAATAAGCATCGATGCTCACAATGATTTTCGAACTTTGGAAATTTTAAGTGGAAAAACAAAAGGCATAAAAATCGTATCGAGTGATGAGTTTTGTGAGCATTGTTTTCCTTAAATGTCGCATGAGGCGAGTTGGTATCAAATGAGCACTCGCGCTCACGTTGATTCTAGAAGTTTAAAAATGTCTATCGGAGAAAACGGTCGAGAAGTGTATTGAGATAAGATTTGAATGATACGTTTTTTGATATATATTAATATTTTACTGCTGTTTGTTCGTAAGTCGGTTCGTATCAGAATTGTGTGTATTCGCTGGTCGGCTGCGGGCGGATCGTTGTATTAGTTTTGGAATAAATCCGTTGATTGGAATTGATGGATTCTTATTGAGTGCGATCGGTTCCGATAGTTGGAAATGCTCGATTTTTTGTCGTATTATATCGGATAAAATATGGTATGATACGTTGGTTACCCGACAGAGGAACTTTGTGTTCTCTAGCGGATGTGATCGGATATAGATGTCTGAACATACCGGTTCCGATAACATAGATTGTGACGGTTCTTCACGAATTCGTTTGTCGGTTTATATCGGTGTTTTCTGAAAGTTGTCGGAATGTGGCGGTTGGTTTCTGATAGGATCCGATCACCGGGTTTTGCCGGGTTTGAGGTCCTCCCGGTAGGTTCCGATCCTGTGTCTTTCTCTTGGGAAAACCAAGGCCCATACTCACACCCTCCTTTCATGTCGACACAATTTCTGTTGATATCAAAGTATATAGAGTTTGAGAAACGGACAATCACTGTAATGACAGTTGGTTATATTTCCTATCAATATAGATACGAGTGGTTTGTAAAATTTTACTGATAACAATGAAAGAAATACTTTGCTATGCAAAGCCGCATTAGTATAATTAAAAACTTTCTTTTTAATCGAACTCGCCCCTCTCCCCTCCATAATAAAAGAGCCGAGGTCTTCTATTGCGGTTTCCTACATTGCAGTTTTCTGTGAAAAAATCTCCGTACCCATACAGGACGATTGTTATTCTAGGGGGCCTATTATTTCGGGGCCTTTTAATACGGAAGGATCTTCTATTGTGGGGGAACGGTTCATAAAACTAAGACTAAACAGGAAATTAGACTTCTAATTTTCTAAAAAAATCATATTTCTCAGAATTTTTATCAAAAAACTCATATTCTGCCGTATTTTTATCGAAAAAAATCAAAAAAATCTGTACCGGGCTGGTAGAAAAATATCTGTTTCGACCTATGAGGGTCACGTGGCGACGGGTGTTGCAGCCTAACGAGCGGGTAGGGCGAGTACAACTAAAAATAAAATGGTACGACCCTCCGGCGGGCGAGGATCATTCTTCACGGATTACGGGCGTGTAAAGAAATTTTTCGAGGTTTAATATAGGACCGTCCATAGCAACAGATAGACATCGTTATTTTACACTTCTGACAAGAAATAAATCGATTAACTGATTATTCTACACTTATCACCGTGGAGGTAACTAGAAAATCCACTTCTTTGGCAAGAGCAAGAAAATGTAATACGGCTCGTCCACATAACGCGGCACTTCGCCGATCAAGTTCTGAAAAACTTTTTCTTCGAGTTGAACAAATTGGAACAAACTATTAGACGCAGTTTTTAACGCTGATTACGCATCTGATATCGATTTTGTAAAAAAATCAGATTTTTTCATCGAAAGCTCAGCTTTAAACTTTTCAAAAATCGTATTTCGATTTTTTTAACTAATAAGGTTATTCAAAAAATGTACACAGACATACTCTTAAACGCAGAATTTCATTCTCTACAAAATGGCCTATCTAGTTTTGATTTTAATAGCTGGTAAAAACGTTTAACATCTGATACCGTCCCCAACTTACTGTTTAGTTTTTGAGCTCCCTTGCGGATGAATTAATTTGATTCTTTCATAGACGTTCATCTACACAGTAAAGACTAGCCGTTCAAAAATTCAAAGCATTCGGAAGATATTAACTACCTCAAAAAATGGCTAACAAAAAAGTTTCAACGGCGCTACGTTTGTTTTTTCCATTTTTCACACAAACAAAAGTAGCTAAAAGAAAACGTTTTTTGACTTTGATAAGCTCTTCCAAAACTCTACAAGAGGGGCTCTAACGAGGAAACCAAATAAAAAACAGACTGACCTATCTATCGTGAAGAAAGACAAATACAATCTGCTGTTCTCAACTTTTGCTTTTCAGTAATCGATTGTTTTGTTATTGAAGTAAAAAATTATATAATAATTGTAATAAAAAGATGCACAGTTTAATATTCCGACGCGTTTCGTATCTTTTTTAAGATAGTACTCTTCAGGGTTGCAAATCTCTTGGTAAGTTGTAATCAGCCAGGGGTGGGTGTGGGTGTGGGTGTGGGCGTAAGTGTGAGGTGAATATTAATTATTACACCCACACCCTCAAACATCGAAAATCAATTTTTCGAAAAACACATTTCTAGAGGTTTTACGATGCAGGGAGTTCGAATCTGAGGTCTATTGGGTGACTACGATGAGGGGGGTTGGTGGGTGTAGGTCAAAGGTCAAAAAAACATTGAAAATCAATTTTTTGGAAAAAACGTTTCTATAGGTTTTTCGATGCGGAGACTTTGAATCCGAGGTCACTTTTTAAGAAACTTTTGCGGATCATATTTTCATAAAAAGATAGGTTTTTTTTTATAAAAGAAAATGATTTTGATAATGTTTCCCCAAAGATTATAAGAGTAAGGAAATCTATTAATTAACTGTTAACGAAGCTTTTATTTGCAATATTTTCATACAATTTGGTCACAGATGATCCAGGACTTAGAGCTCAAATCTAACGCAGATTTAAATCACTTAGTAATCGAGAGGGTATTGTATATATGAGTGAGAAAACAATCATATATGCACACTAAATAAATAGTCGAAAGTTCAAGCGAAATGAGTATCATTCGTATATTTCGTGATCATTTACAATTTAGTCGTGAGCTGTTTCCGGAAATGACATGATCCGTCGCGATATTATCAAACTTGAAGATTGAGATTCATTGAACCTTCATGTTTCGACTGTTATCTATTATTTCGACTCTCAAATATCCATCCAACTGGTGTCCGACCTCTTGTTAATAGTCGAATGCTCCACCCAAAATTCGATAACTCCTGCCTTCCCAACGCTTCGAAGCTCTTTCATATTCATATCTGGTCACCTTGTTTTGCTGACTTATTATGTTGAACTAGATGATTCGGTATTGAAACAGCTTGCCGATTCAATAATGTATATACCTCTGAAATACCTCTCCTTTTAAATATTAAACTCAAATCCACTTTAGTCATTAAGAGCAAAACTACACTCTAAATAAAATAGGTACTCTAGTGAACTCTCAAAAAAGGTTTCGTCGTGACGAAAAAGTCTTCAAACATGTTCAAAGTTTGAAAACACAATAAAATTCTACAAAACCATTAAAGGATCTTCCCGTGTATCGGGGGGAAGAATCTTTACCTACGAAACTTTTTTTTAACTTTAGGACACCAAAAAAAGGTTTCGTAGTAAAATACAAAACTTTCATGGTTTCGTATTGAACTACACAAGAACATTGGAGTTTAGTACGAAACTATTACGGTTTTAAATGAAACTATAAAGGTTTCGTATTTTACTACGAAACCTTTTTCTGGTGCCCTGAACTTAAAAAAAGGTTTCGTAGGTGAAGGTTCTTCCCCCCGATACACGGGAAGATCCTTTAATGGTTTTGTAGAATTTTTTATTGTGTTTTTCAAACTTTGAACATGTTTGAAAACTTTTTCGTCACGACGAAACCTTTTTTGAGAGTTCAGTAGAGTACCTATTTTATTTAGAGTGTACCTCACGCTCGACTTTTATGCTAGCAATAATATTCTACTATTACATATTCATAACAGACACGTTAATCACATAACGTTCAAGTAAAGAAAATTCTATTCCATTCAGAAAGTTATGAATGTAAGCCTGTAACTATAAGATTCATCGGTCAGCGACTATATATACGACCAACCTCACAATAAACTCCATTCATAAGGTAGAGGAAAACAATACGATAGGTTTATTATAGCCTTTTCTCGTTAATTACCTACAAATTTTTCACACAACTACAAGGTGTTTATGTAGCCTACGCCTGAATGCCGTTAGGACGCTGTTCTAATAGAA